CATATGGGATTCAGTCAACTTAACCACCATACTGTGGGCGGGCCCCAGAGGGAGCAATCTTTAAAAAAAGAAAATACAAGTGACACAGAGAGAACTTAACTGAACTAAAAATAATGCCATTTATTGACCTGCATGAGACTTAAATTCCAGAATGCTCTACCTGAAGGTGCTGTATGTACTGGTATTGGGGCTGCAAAAGTGATCTATATATTGTCACAACTTGGCAATACTCATCTTTGGAATCAGTATTTACTATATAATTACTCCTTCAAAGACTAGCTATTTACTGATAACGGAATAAAAAACAGAAATAGGCAGAGTCTTAAATTACTGGTAGTCACTATAGCAACACTCTATAAATTCTATTTTTGTCCTTGTGATTACATAATTACTTTTCCCCTAAATATCTTATATATTATTAGAAATATATGTGAAATTTGTTAAAATATATCTCTTAAATATTATTTTAAATATATTACCTTAATTATGAGTCACCTATAAGACTCCCCCACTCACCCAATATTAGAAAACTACTACTAAATTTCTAAGCTCCCTATGTTAGATACAGCAAGGTTACCTTTCACGAGAAAAACTATACAGGCGTTTTTTTCAGTTGCATCAATTAAAATGACTACAGAGATGTTCATCTAACCTTAGGTTTCGTGGCTTCTAATCTTCTTAAGGCTGTAGTTTGATTTTAATTGAAATTCTCTGGTGGTTATTCAAAATTTAATGTTTTGGGTCCAGACAGGGGCACAGTGGTAAACCATGACACTCTGTAAGGCAATCCCACATGGGAAGGTTCTTGGTTCAAATCTGGAGACCTGAGTGTGAGGGGCACATGTATGCCCACGATCTGGGGCTGGCTTAAAGCTGAGTATGGATCGAGGCATTGGACCCCCCCATTAGGTGTTTTGTTTTTCCTTTTGTTTCTTTGTCTATGTGTATGTCTCTTGATCATGGAAGAAATAAATAAACTTTTTAAAAAACTTTGTGTTTTAGGAATGAAAAACCTGAGCTGGCCTATAGATTGGTAGTTGAGAAAACCAGATCTCACATGGCTGACTATGTTTGAGTCCCAGCTCCAGGGGTTGGAGAAACACACCAGGGGCCAGCAGTTAGCATAATGGCTATGTCGCTGGAGTCCTGTGTAGTAGACCATGGTTTGAGTTTCAGACTCGGTGGCTTAAACTCACGCTGGGTGCATGTGCATGTATGCCCAAGATCCTCAGAGGAGAATGGAGGAGAGGGGATTGCGGCATGGCCATCCCCCCTGGGGGGTGTTTTCTCACTTTCTGTCTCTCTCTGTCTCTCTCTGTCTTTCTGGTGAGCGCACGTGCCCTATAGCAAAAACCTCTCAAAA